ACAAATCAGTGGACATATATGGGCAGGTGAGTTCACTTCCAGGAAACCTGTGTAGGTAAGGTAGCATGCAGTAGGCAGTGGGCCACTCCCTCCCTGCATTCTCAAGATGGGGCGCAACGTGCTCCTGTCTGCCTGACTTGGACGCGGTGTGGCTGCCAGACCCTTTTACTCACAGGGGGAACAAGTCAGTGGACATATATGGGCAGGGGGATTGCATACGGGCTACAGATTCGTGGACATATGTGGCCAGGTGAGGCAGTGGGCTGGGCCGGTGAGGCAGTGGGCAGGTGAGGCAGTGGGCAGGTGAGGCAGTGGGCCGGTGAGGCAGTGGGCTGGTGAGGCAGTGGGCAGGTGAGGCAGTGGGCAGGTGAGGCAGTGGGCAGGTGAGGCAGTGGGCCGGTGAGGCAGTGGGCCGGTGAGGCAGTGGGCAGGTGAGGCAGTGGGCAGGTGAGGCAGTGGGCAGGTGAGGCAGTGGGCAGGTGAGGCAGTGAGCAGGTGAGGCAGTGGGCCGGTGAGGCAGTGGGCAGGTGAGGCAGTGGGCAGGTGAGGCAGTGAGCAGGTGAGGCAGTGGGCAGGTGAGGCAGTGGGCAGGTGAGGCAGTGAGCAGGTGAGGCATTGGACCCGTCCCTAGATTCAGTTGGAGCCCTCTGGTGGGCTCTGTGGCAGCTTCGTCCTATGCAAATCTCTCCCTTTCCTCCAAAGTCCCCCTTCCCATTCCTATCCATCCCCCCACCCTGGCACATCTCAGCTGGAGCCATCTGGTGAGCTGTGCGGTGGATTCCTCTTCCTGCTATACTCTCCCTCGCCTCTCAAGTCCCCCTTCCCTTTCCTATCCATCCCCCCACCCTGGCACATCTCAGCTGGAGCCATCTGGTGAGCTGTGCGGTGGATTCCTCTTCCTGCTATACTCTCCCTTGCCTCTCAAGTCCCCCTTCCCATTCCTATCCATCCCCCCACCCTGGCACATCTCAGCTGGAGCCATCTGGTGAGCTGTGCGGTGGATTCCTCTTCCTGCTATACTCTCCCTTGCCTCTCAAGTCCCCCTTCCCTTTCCTATCCATCCCCCCACCCTGGCACATCGCAGCTGGAGCCATCTGGTGAGCTGTGCGGCGGATTCCTCTTCCTGCTATACTCTCCCTTGCCTCTCAAGTCCCCCTTCCCATTCCTATCCATCCCCCCACCCTGGCACATCTCAGCTGGAGCCATCTGGTGAGCTGTGCGGTGGATTCCTCTTCCTGCTATACTCTCCCTTGCCTCTCAAGTCCCCCTTCCCTTTCCTATCCATCCCCCTCCTCCCTTCCTGTTTTCCCTCTCTCCCTTCCACCCAACCACTCTCAGTTGGAGCCCTCTGGTGAGCTGTGTTGCGGCTTCCTCTTCCTGCAGTCCACGCCTCATGTGACGATCCAGGTTAAATATCCCAGCCTTAGCTCCTTAAAACCGCACGTCACCCCTCCCGACCTCCCATCCCCCTCCCTGCCACCGACTCTCAGCTGGAGCCCTCTGGCGAGCTGTGCGGCGGATTCCTCTACCTGCGGTCCACCCCTCGTGTGGTAACCCTATGGGACCAGATTACGGGGTTGTACACGCGCACGTTCAACCGCATGGCCAAGGAGGCGCTGTACAAGAAACCAGAGGAGATGCAGGCTTGGCTCAAGGTGAGATAGTTGTAACGACGTGGTAACCCTATGGGACCAGGTTACAGCCCTCTGGGACCAGGTTACAACCCTATGGGACCAGGTTACAGCCCTATGGGACCAGGTTACGGGGCTGTACACGCGCACGCTCAACGGCATGGCCAAGGAAGCACTGTACAAGAAGCCAGAGGAGATGCAGGCTTGGCTCAAGGTGAGAGAGATGTAACGGTGTGGTAACCCTATGGGACCCCAGGTTACAGGGCTGTATGGCTGAGTACTCAACCGCATGGCCAAGGAGGCGCTGTACAAGAAGCCAGACGAGATGCAGGCAGGCTCAAGGTGAGATGCAACGATATCCTGGTGATGTGTATGCTGCTTTAAACGAGATGTAACGATGTGCCAAAAGAGGTGTATTTCTCCCGCCCGCCCCTCCTCTCTCCACCCCCACTACTCAGCAATTCGGGTGTCTGCACGAGCAGCGGTACTTGAACCAGCTGGTGGGGAAGAGGCGGTCAAGGGCTGGGCACTAAGTTCCCCAACCCACCTTCCCCTTCCCTCCCCAACACTGTCCCTCCCTCCCTCCCTTCCCTCCCCCTACTCTTCTCACTCAGCAATTCGAGCATCTGCACGAGCAGCGGTACTTGAACCAGCTGGTGGGGAAGAGGCGGTCGAAGGTGCGCGTGCAAGGGCTCGACACCCTCATGTTTCCAAATGGGAAGGAGTTTTTCGTTCAGCGCGCTCCACAACAAGCAGGGATCGCACCAGTGGTGATCCATAACAACTACATCAAGGGGAAGAAGGTGTGTGTGACTGTATTGGTTGTGACTGCTGGTTGTGACTGTATGGGACATGCACAGGGCAGCACTCCCCCCTCAAGTTCCCCAACCGAAAGGCTGTACAGTGGGAGCTGCTACAAGGTGGGGATCGCACCGGCGGTGATCCAGAACAACTACATGAAGGGGAAGAAGGTGAGCGTGACTGTAATGGTTGTGACTGTGCTGATTGTGACTGTATGGGACATGCACATGGGCAGCACTCCCCCCTCAAGTTCCCCAACCGAAAGGCTGTACAGCGGGCACTGCAGCAAGGTGGTGATAGCACTGGTGGTGATCCATATCAACTACATCAAGGGGAAGAAGGTGTGTGTGATTGCGCAGGTGGTGAGACTGTGCCGTGTGCTACTGTGATTCATATACGTGTCACTTTATGTGACATGTGATTGTGGTATGCGTGATTGTAGTGAAGTTTCCTGGAAATGAGACATTAACAATTGTGTGCGAAGGTGCAAATAGCATCCATGGGTATAACTTGCATGTGATGGTAATGAATGTAGTTCTTCTTTCTGCGAGGCATGCACGGATATAGGGCAACTTGTGTGCTCACTCACTTGCCCCCTTCACACCCTTCTGTGTTCTCCCGATCAAACCTAGGCATGCATGGTACCACCTTTTTTGAATCCTTCTGTTCCGTGCTTTGTCACCCCAACCCCCATTTCAGCATTCATATCCCCATCAGTCATTCGTCGCATCAGTGCCCTTTCTCATGCGTTCCCTGTTTCATATGCCTTTCGTTTTAAAATGTGTACAGGCCAAGATTCAGCGGTTCAAGGAGTTCGGCTTATGGCGAGCCGATCCAACCGGGACCTCGTGTCTTTGCCTCTCATGCCCAGTGCAGATTGGGGCAGTACGAGGAGCCGTGGGCCGGCACTAGTTATATAGCCTTAGCCCATATGCATTGCATGAAAAATAGGTGGCTATATATGTTTCCCTATGTTGAATGTGAATGGAAGCAAGGGGCACACTCAATCGAGCTTCGAATTAGTGTCGGAACAATACAAAACAGTTCCTGCATAAGGCTGATTGAACGTTAAACATTTGTCCTTGTATTCTGCCTTTTCTACATCGGAGTAATTGGTTCTGCGTTCACTAGGTTCCAGACCAGACGAGGCGGGAACAAGGGCGGGACGAGGGCAAGGTCCATGACGGCAAGCGCTGCAGCTGTCGCACGGGTCAGCTGCTGTGATGCCAGCAATGTCTGTGCTGGGCAGTGAGTGATGTCTGTGCTGGGCAGTGAGTGATGTCTGTTTGGGCAGCGACCAGCCAATCAGCGGTGGTGCTGTTCGCTCGCCTGCTTATTGCAGATTGCCCTTTCAGAGCGTGCCAGATTTTCATCCACTCACGCCAGCTCCCGCCTCCTCGATCTGCTCGAATTTCAGTTGTCGGCGACAGCCACTTGTCACTTGCCCCAGCGATAACCATGCACCAAGGGTCGTCGTCGCCAGACTAGATTCATCATCTCAAGTGAAGAACGTCGCACGCTCGACGAATCGGTCGCCCAAGGAACTGTTCACATCTGTACGAACATATTCCCTTCCCAGCCGCACTTTCTTGTTTCTCCCCCACCATATACAGTATCCCACACCATTCCATCCCATCCCATCCATCCTGGCACGGTCATGATTATGAATTTGCGAAGGATGTACGTCATGGGCCAACTCGAAATATGATATCTACGAGTTATCTTTATAATTCATCGGCTTGTTTTTTGTGTACATGTTGATGAATAAGAGGAGTTCTCGTGTTCGTTCCTGACCAGGAACGAAGTGGTGAAAGGGTAACCCCATAGGAGTTATTCGGATACTACCAGCACCGCGCAGGTGAAACGTGAGCCCTCCCCCCCGCCGCCACCAGCAGCCCTTCCCCCTCCCCCACGCGAACCCCCTTTCTCCCCCCCCCCTCCCCCACCTCCCCCACTCCCCTCTCTGCCAAACAGCTCCCCCCACTGGCGACGCACGCGGTCATCCAGGCGGCGCGCTCTCCATCTTCCCCCGCCTCCTCCCCCAATCGCGTGCGCCGTGTGGTCAGAGATTCCCGCAGCAGGACAGCAGCAGCAACAGCAGCAGCAGCAGCAACCCGGCGCCGCCGCACCTTCTACACCTAAATCGCGCCATTGTCTCACCCAGCAACTTCTTAAGCCACGCTACACTTGCGCAAACGACGAGCTACAGTGACGCATATGACAAGGCCTAGTTGCGCAATCGACAAGCTACAGTTCGGAACACGACAAGGTACAAAGGAATAAGAAAAAAAATCGCGGGTTAAGTGTACTGTATTGTACCCTTTCTTTTCCAACAGCACAGCACATGCTTGCCCCCCCCCCCAACTCCCTCCCAAACTCCCCCCTCCCCACCCCCCCACCCCCCTTCCCCCTTCTCCCGTCCCTCCTCTCCTTCTCTCTCACATCCTAGCCCTAGCTAGCTCGTTGTCAGCTGACGCCATCCAAGCCCCATGATCCATCCCTCTCCAAGCTTTCTTTCATACAGTACCTCCAAGCTTTTCTCCCTTCTCTCATCCCCGATAACAGTGACCCCATTCCCATCCCTGCAACCCTCCCTCGCATCCACCGCATGAGCTTTCCCCTCCAAGCAGTCCTGAGCACACTAGACCTGCAACCCTCCAACCCTCGTTCATACCAGTTGCCGTTGTGGCTTTTTGCGAGTTTGTCTGGACTCAGGACGATTTTGCACCATCCCATCCTCCTGTTCGACGCCTCGTTTTCTGACATTAGGTCGGAAGCAATACCTCATAACAAGCCTGCATCCACTAACGTTAGAAGAGCGACTTGTGCCGCAAATGGGTTATCTCAATTATAATCGAACGAGTATACGATCTTAAGGTCGTTCGTTTGGTCCCGCTTCGTCCTCCGTTTGCGTAACCCTAACGGTTCATGGTGGTGATTCGTTTTAACAACCACCCATACCCGATATAAATTGCCTTAATTCTTAGTCTCTTCAGATTTAAATACTTAATTACTGTCCGATGGGCCCTCGCACGGCGGCCGGCGCGATGTGCGGGCTCGGCGTTCGCATGGGCTCCAAGACGACATTGTGCGACTCGAACAGGGCGGCGTGCGACGCGTGCGACAACGTCGACACGTGCACGTGGGCGTCGCTTCCGCCCGAGCTGCTCCGCGACGTGATCGCACGCGTCGAGGTGTGCGACAGCGGTTGGCCCGCCAGGCGAAGCGTTGTCGCCTGCGCGGGCGTTTGCCGCGCGTGGCGCGAACTGACGCGGTATGTAATCAGATGCGCTTCCGCGGTTTTGAGACGTCTTAAAACAAAGCTGACGCGGTATGTAATTCCGTGTATCAGAAGCGTCGTCGCTTGCGAAAGCGTTTGCCGCGCTTGGTGCTTCATCCGGCGCTCGCGCAATACCGGCACCTTCACGCTGCCCGCCCCCCCCCCTCCCCCCTTCCCCCCTTTCCCCCCTTTCCCCCCTTTCCCGCTCTCCCCCCCCCCCCCCCCCACCACAGCGAGCTTCTGCAATCCCAAGTGTCCTACGAATCCCATGGCCAGATCACCTCTCCGGATGAGCTACGCCTTCCCCGCCCAAGCGACCGGTGCGTGGAGTGCTTTCATTGGTGCTCGCGCAAGCCGGCACGTTCACGCTGCTCCCCCGTTTCCCCGCTTCCCCCTCCCCCGCACGCTCACAGAGAGCTCTTACAATCCCAAGCGTCCTACAAAAGCCACGGCCAGAATGCATTCCCCGACGAGCTACGCCAGCCGGGCCCCAGCGACCGGTGCGTGGAGTGGTTTCCTCCCTCCCCTCATCCCATCATCATTCCCCCGTGTCCCTCCCCGCCCCCCCCTCCCCTCCCCGCACAGCGAGCTTCTGCAATCCCAGGCGTCCTACAAGTCTTCTGGGCAGATTACATTCCCCGACGAGCTTAGACAGCCGGGGCCGAGCGACCGGTGCGTGGAGTGCTTTATTCGGCGATCGCGCAAGACCGGCACGTTCACGCTGTTCCTGGGCGTGCCGCCCAACTCGACGGAGAACGGCAAGTTCCTGCTCGCGGCGCGCAAGTGCGGCTGGCGGCCGTCAAGGTAAGCGGTCAGCTGGCTATCTCGATTGTTCGTGCTTGAGAATGGTTACTTCCTGTCGCCATTCCTTACCTTGACAGCATGATATTTTCTGTTGATTTTGCGAATTTATTTCCACGTCAGCATGGGCTACGTGGTGTCCTGTTCTTCTACCCTCCCTTTAAATTCTTCCTTACCCGTTGCTTTTTTTTTTGTCCTCATCCATTTATTCTCCGTCCATGTCAGCATGGAGTACGTGGTCTCGTTGGATCCGAAAGACTTTTCGCGTGGCGGGAGCTCGTTCGTCGGCCGCCTGCGGGCGAATTTCCTCAGCACGCGATTCGCGGTGTTCGAGTCGTCGCACGAGGTGAGAGTATACCCCTCCTGTAACACGGTAACCAGTCGGACGATTATCGGCAATCGCTTTCAGCACGCGTTTCGCGGTGTTTGAGTCGTCGCACGAGGTGAGTGAGCTGTCACTCTCCCGTGTATCCCTATCCCGTGCTGTAACATGGTAACATTCTAAGTATAGGTGTTGCGGCGACTTGAGCTCGCGATTCGTCGTGTTCGAGTCGTCGCACGAACACGGTGAGAGTAAAGGTGAGAGAACACTCCGCCTGTAACATTGTGGATTCAGCCATCAGACTGGGCGAGCAGCAGCGAGGAAGAAACTTTTAGCGAAAGCGGAACAGTTTGTTGTTACCCTTTCGCGCGAGGTGAGAGAGTACACCTCCCGTAACATCGTGTATTCTTGAGGCGCCTAAAAAGTCGTAACAAGTCGACTTTTGAGGCGCCAGAAAAATGGTTACAGTTCAGATCAACTTTCGCAACCGCTTTCACCACCCGCAGCCTGTGCCTTCGATCCCTCTCACACACACCCTCCCCCGCCCGTTTCCCAATCTTCCCCTGTCCCTACTTCCCCCTCCCCTTCTTCCCCCGACCCCCTTTCCCCCGGTCCTTTCCCCCCTCCCCTCCCCCCCCTTCTCCCCCCGCCACTTCTCCCCCCGCCCTTTCTCCGCCCTGCACTTTCTCCCCCCGACCCTATGGTTCTTCCCGTTTCCTCTTGGCGCGCTCTCGTTGTCGTCGATCCCTCACCCCCCCTCCCCTGCCCGCTCCCCGCTCCCCGCCCCCGCCCTTCCGCCTTGTCCCCGCAGCCCACGTTTTCTCTCGGCGCGCCCTCGTTGGCGCAAGGCGGAAGCAGCAGCAGCAGCCGCAAGGTGCACCCCGGGGGAGGCGCTATCTCCGCCAGCAGTTACCACTGCAGCGCGAGGGCCGGTTACTGTGGTTACCACTGTAACGCGGGGGGCAGTCACTGTAGCCACCATTGTGGTAACCACTGCGACTGTGGCAGTGCGGGCAGCAGTGGGGCGGGGACCCCGGTTGGCTGTAGCAGTAACAGTTTGGGCAACGACAACAGTGGCGGCTGTAGCAGCACTGGTATCAGCAGCAGTAGTAGCGGCAGTGGTTACCAGGGTGCTAGTAGCAGCGCAATTGACGCTGACGCTGCCACGTCAGCAGCTGTATCATCAAGCCTCCACGACCATTCCCCGTCCCCCTCCCCATCCCCCTCCCTCTCCCCCTACCCCTCCCCTTCCCCCGCTTCCCCCGCCCCTTCCCCCTCTGCCGCCGCGCGCGCCCTAACCTCCTGCATCTCCCGCTCCGCCAACAACCTTGAGGGGTTCCGCTCACCCCGTCTCCCTTCCGCCTCCGCGCCCCCTTCCGCCGCGCCCTCCCCCTGCCCCGCCGTCTCCGCCTTCTCCTCCCCCAGTTCAAGCCCAGCTGCATCAGCAGTCCCTTCCCTGGAAGCGGCGCGAACAGCAGCGGGGGGGGCGGCGGTGGGGGGAGCAGCGGGGGAGCGGCGGGGGAAGCGGGGGGAACAGCGGGCCTGTGGTTTCTGTAGCATACGCGCTGAACGTGCTGGGGGTGCGCGGGCCCAGGCGCATTCTGTGCACCTTGCACCAGGTGCCCGCGGGGGCGGCGGTTTCTGGCGGAGGGGGGAGCGGGGGAGGCGCAGGAAAGGGCGCTGGGGGCGGGAGGGGGAAGGCGGGGAGAGCGGGGGAGGGAGCGGGGGAGGGAAGGGGGGAGGGGAGGACGTTGGGAAGGGGGGGAAGTGGGCGGAGATGGGGGGATGCGTCAGCAGTCGCGGGGACAGGGGGAGAGGAGGTTCGAAGGGCGGCAGCTGCAGCAGCTGATGTTGCTGGTACGGCTGCTGCCGCTTTAGGCATGGATCCCGTTATAAGCACGTCCGATATGGGCAGTTCGAGGAGCCTGCTATCACCGATTTTAAGCAGTGCGCCTTCGGCGAGACTGGTTACCCCACCTGTTACCCCGCCTCCTGTTACCCTTCCGCCTGTTGCAACCCCTGTTACACACTCCGTTACAAGTCCTGTTACAACCCCTGTTACAAACTCCGTTACAACTCCTCGCGTTACAATGCCTCCAGCTTCCCCTCCTCCTGCTACTGCCGTTGCTTTAGCCGCTGGTGCTGCTGCTGCTGCCGCCACCACCCCCCTTCTCTCCTCCCTGCTTCATCAAAACCCGTGTGACCAGGAGGGGCGAGATGAGGAGGAGCGAATTTCTGACCATTCCCAGCCTGCCACGTGTTCCTCCTCTTTCACTCCTTCCCCTCTTCCCCGCCCCCCCTGGTCCCCCTCCCCCGCCCCCCCTGCTGGCGCATCCTCCGCCCCGCCCCGCTTCCCCGCTCCCCCCTCCCTACACTCCCCCGCTTCCCCTCCTGATGTGTTAATAGCCCCTGCAGGTCCCTCCCCCTCCCCCTCCGCTTCTTCCCCCTGCCCCCCCTCCGCCTCCCCCCCTTGCCCAGAGTTTCCCCCTTCCGCCTGCTCCTCCCTCCCCCCTTCGGCCCTGTCTTCCGCCTCCCCCGCGTCCCTTTCTTGCGCCTACAGGCTTAGTGGGGGGAAGGGAGAGAGGGGGGGGATTGTGAGTGAGTTTGAGTGGGGGGGAGGGGAGAGAGAGGAGGTGACTGTAGAGGAAGTGACTGAAGGGAGAGAGGGGGAGCAGGAGGAGGAGGGGAAAGGGGAGGAGGTAGGGAAGGGAGAGGAGGGGAGAAAGGACGAGACAGAGGAGGAGAGGGAGGACAGGGCAGAGCGGGCAGGGAGAGAGGATCAGGAGAGAGAGCAGGAGGAAAGGGAAGAGGAGGGTTTGCCGGTGGTGCTGACAGGTGGTCGAGAAAGGGACGGGGGAGCTGAGAGGGGTGGAGACGAGCCGGCACGAGAAGCTCGGACGCCACCCACAATCTGTACGATGGAACCGCTGGTGTCGTTCCCAGAGAGCGGGGAAGACACGAGTGCCGGCCTGACTGGATTAACAGGAGAAGCCGGGCTAACGGGACTTAGAAACTCTGGCCAGGGCACTAGTGAGGGGGGGAGTGGCGAGCAGGAGGGCAGTCGGCAGGAGAGATATCTGCAGGATGGCAGGGAGGGTTGGTTGCAAGGCAGCGGTAATGGTGGCAGCAGCAGCAGAGACCCCCTGATTTCCCCTTTCCCCGAGTCTTCCGCCCCGTTCCTCCCCCCGGCTGAGCTGGAGCTTCCCCCCGCTGCTCTGCCCATGCCCACGCAATCGCCTTTACGTGCGCCCATGCCTGTGCCCATGGTTGACGGGGCTCATGGCTCTGCATTGCCACCTGTATTAGAGAATGCGGTGGCTGCTGCTGCTGCTGCTGCTGCATCAGTAGCAGGAGCAGGAGCGGCACAAGCTAGAGCATGGGGAGCAGCGCAAGAGCCAGCATCACCAGCACCATCAGCAGCAGCAGCAGCAGCAGCAGCAGCGGCAGCAGCGGCTAGAACAGGGCGGGCAGCAGCAGGAGTGGCAACACCAGCAGCAGCTGCTATGGGGGTGGCTTGGTCACCAGCAGCAGCAGCAGCAGCAGCAGGAGTGGCGTCACCAGCAGCAGTCGCGGCAGGAGCAAGGGCAGCCATTGCTGTGACTCCCCCGTTTTCCTCCGCCTCTCTCACACGTGGTGTGCACACACCACGGACCGACGGACCCGTCTCCTCTCCTGCTGCAGCTGCCACCACCGCAAGTGCTGCTGCTGCTTCGCCTTCCCTTGCTGCTGCTGCATCTGCTACAGCTGGTGCTCCTGCTGCTGCTGCTTCTGATGCTGACGATGATGCTGACTGCACGGAGTGTGACTGTGTGCGGTGTGTGGGCCGGGCGCCTCTAGAGCCCATGGTGCTGAGAAACAAGCCGCCAAGGTGGCACGAGCAGCTGCAGGTACGGCATAGTCTGTGTGTGCGTGAATGTGTGTTAAAGAGGTGTGACTGTTCGGAGTGTGACTGTGTGCGGTGTCTAGGACGAGCGCCTCTAGAGCCCATGGTGCTGAGGGACAAGCCGCCACGGTGGCACGAGCAGCTGCAGGTACGTTGAGAGGGGGTGTATCATAGGTGGTTGGAGTTTGCGTGTGTGTGTGTGTGCGCTGTGTGGGCCGAGCCCCCTTGAAGGTGCTGCGGAACAAGCCACCGAGGTGGCACGAGCAGCAGCAGGTACTGCAGAGTGACTGTGCGTGAATGTATGTGTTGAAGGAATGGGACTGTTCGGAGTGTGACTGTGTGCTCTGTGTAGGGCGAGCGCCTCTCGGGCCCAGGGTGCTGAGGAACAAACCGCCAAGGTGGCACGAGCAGCTTCAGGTTCGTTGAGAGGGGGTATATCATAGGAAGGCGGAGTTTGCGTGCGCGTGCGCTGTGTGGGGTGAGCGCTTCTCGAGCCTTCTTGCTAAGGAACAAGCCACCAAGGTGGCACGAGCAGCTGCAGGTGAGTGTGTGTGTGTGTGTGTGTGTGTGTGTGTGTGTGTGTGTGTGTGTGTGTGTGTGTGGTGTGTGTGTGTGTGTGTGTGTGTGTGTGTGTGTGTGTGTGTGTGTGAGTGTGCACATGGGAGGAAAAGGGTAAACAAGGGGGTGCGCTGCTGTGTGCGCTGCTGTGTGCGCTGCTGTGTGCGCTGCGTGGGCTGGAGGGCTCTAGAGCCCATGGTGCTGAGGGACAAGCCGCCAAGGTGGCACGAGCAGCTGCAGGTATGGGTTTTTTTTTTTTAAGGCGCCTAAAAAATGAGGGACAAGCCGCCAAGGTGGCAGGAGCAGCTGCAGGTGTGGGTGTTTTGGAAAGGGGAAGGGGGGAACCTCGCATTTCGCTATTACCCTGCCGCACCCCCATCCGACCTCCTCTCCTTTTGAGGCGCCTCAAAAATAGACTTTCACTATTACCCTGCCCCACCCCCATCCGTGAGGAATCTATTTTTGAGGCGCCTAAAAAATAAACCCCATCCGACCTCCTTTCCCGTCCCCCCCCCCAACCCTCCAACAGTGCTGGTGCCTCAACTTCAGGGGGCGAGTGACGGTGGCGTCTGTGAAGAACTTCCAGCTCAGTGAACGGGGGCCGGGGAACGATGTAGAGAAGCCCGTGATGCTGCAAACCCTTCCTCTCCTCTCTCTCCTCTCCTCCCCCCCCCCATGCTTGCAGTGCTGGTGCCTCAACTTCAGGGGGCGAGTGACGGTGGCGTCGGTGAAGAACTTCCAGCTCAGTGAAGGGGGGCCGAGGAACGACGCAGGTTAAACCAGTGCTGTTGCAGTTTGGGAAAGTCGTGCTTCAACTCCGTTTTCTCCCTTCTCCCCTCTCCTACCCCCTCCCACCCACCAACAGTGCTGGTGCTTGAATTTCCGTGGTCGGGTCACAGTGGCGTCGGTGAAGAACTTCCAGCTCATAGGAGGGGGACCGGGGAACGATGCCGAGAAGCCGGTGCTGCTGCAGTTTGGGAAGATTGGGAAGGACACGTTCACCATGGATTACAGATACCCGCTGACTGCCTTCCAGGTATGCTTTCAGGTGTTTTTTTCAAGTCTGGTTTCAGGTGTGTTTTCTAGGTTTGCATTCAGGTGTTGGTAAGCTTGAGAGTCGGTGCTCTGCTGCAGTTTGGGAAGGACACGTTCATCGTGGACTACAGATACTCGCTGACTGCTTTCCAGGTATCCTTTCAGGTGTGCTTTCAGGTTTTCTTTCAGGTGGTTTCCGAGGCCACTCAAAAGCCACTAGGTTGACAAAGATATTTCCGCCAAGGATAGTAAATATCCATAGATTACACCCCCCCCCCCCCCCCACCCCCCTTGGTACATATCGCTGCGCTTCTTGGGTTGACGATCTACTCTGGGGTAGATTGTAGGTATCCGGAGAGTACCCTCGTTGGGTTGACTCCCAAGTGGCTGACGTGGCAGTGACACCAGTCTGTGCCGGTGTTCCCCTCCTCTGTGTGCACGCATGTGCTGCAGGCCTTCGCCATCTGTCTGAGCAGCTTTGACACCAAAGTGGCGTGCGAGTGATGGATGGCGAAACGAATGAGAAGCCACGAGTGGCATGATGATTTTGTTCACGCATGCATCAACATCTCAACATCAAGACATTGGTATGAGAAACACCTGAGAGGCTTCAACATTGGCATCTGGCATCATCACACCACCATCATCAGCAGCAGCAGGCACGCAAAAAGGAAAGGTCTCTGCAGAAACAACGGATACCATACGGACCATACCATACGGTCTCTTCTCCATGCCATATGGTCTCTTCCCCATACCATATGGTCTCTTCCCCATACCATATGGTCTCTTCCCCATACCATACGGTCTCTTCCCCATATCATATGGTCTTCTCCCCATACCATACGGATTGAGCTGAGAGTGCAGAAGACTGATGAGGTGCACCATGATGCGGGTGTCTGCTACAGGAGTGTAGTGGTGGGGATGGGTAAACTCAAGCCCTGCTATAGAACCATTGCATACTCTAGAATGGAGGAACTATAACCTGTATTGTGTGTGATTTTACCATACGGCTGGCGTTTGATGACAGCTGGACATGAGGTGGCGAACCTTGGCTAGAAATAGTGTGCCTTTTTCTATGAACTTTTTGTTGTATTTTATTTAGCCATAGCAGCAAACTGCTCTATAGTTTCGATTTATTTGTGTTCTTGTCACCACCAATATTTCTGGTGGCATCTGCTCTTATCGAGGACGGCCAATTCTTTCCTCGCATTTTTGTCCCATTTTGCCTTCAGTCCAATTGTCTCGAGATTCTCGCTTTGATCACGTCCGCTACTATCATCGCACACTTTTACCACTCCCGCTTTACTCCATGGCCACGTCAGCAGGCGCGGCGCCAGAGGCATGGCTGCAGGATCAGCTCCTCGCGATGCGCGACTCGCTGCCGTTCCTCGATGCTGACATGGTGTCAGGCCTAGTCAGCTACTGCCCTCAGGCCTCCGATGCTGACGTGGCAGAGTATCTCTCGAATATCGTCGGCGAATCGGATCAGTCCATGGCCTTAGTTTCCGGATATTTAGAAAGGAGGCGTCAGATGCAGCAGGGCGGATTGCCGGCTCAGCCGCCGCAAAATCCGCCGCGAGATTCGGCGCGAAGCGCCTCGGGAAAGCAGCAGCAGCAGCAGCAGCAGGATTATAATCACAACCGATACAGTCACGAAAACCCTAACATCGAGGTGTACGTGAAGCCCAAGTTCGACGAAGCTTCCGGAACTGTCCCCGCGCCTTCCCGCAGGAGCGGCGCAGAGGGGGGGTCGGGGGAAGGGGGAAACGCAGGGGGAGCGGAGGTTCCGGGAGGTGCGATGGCGACTGGCGCGGGCGGAAGGGTTGGCGGAGGGGCGGGGGGAGGGCAGGGGGGAACAGCACGCGGCGGAAGCACGGGGGGAAGCGCAGGCGGGGGGAAAGCCGGGGGGAGAAAGCGGAGGGGAGGGGTAGCGGTGGGGTTAGCAGATCTTGAGCAAGGGCGGGTGTTTAAGCAAGGGGCGCCGTGCGACTGCCAGGCGGCGATCCATCACTTAGTTAACAACTGCTTAGGGTGTGGGAAAATAGTGTGCGAGCAGGAGGGCGAAGGGCCGTGTAAGTTCTGCGGCGTTCTAGTGCTAAAAGGATCTGATAGTATGGGGGTGGTGGTGCCTGGAGTGGGGATGGAGGGGGAATGGGAGGAGTGGGGCGAGGCACTGTTAGGAGGGAAAGGAGGGGGAGGAGGGGGAGGAGGAGGAGGAATAGCAGGAGAAGCAGTAGCAACAGCAGCAGCAGCAGAAGGTTTATCCGAAGCAGAAGCTAAGGCGCTAGCTTTTAGGGACAGGCTAGTTGAATATAATCGCACCTCAGCCCAACGGACGGTCGTGATCGACGATCAGAGCGACTACTTCAAATCCAACGGTGCAGATGGCGACGGGGACGCCTGGCTGACTAAAGAAGAGAGGGAGATTTTGAAAAGGAGGGGGGAGGAGAGGGAGAGGGAGGAGGAAGAGAGGAGGAGGAGGAGGGTGGTTGTTACGCTCGATCTGATTGGTCGACGAGTGCTAGTGGCGGATGGGTACGGGGCTGACGTGGCAGGGAACGGAGCTGACGTGGCAGGGTCTGGGGGAAGCAAACGAGGGCAGGAAGCGGGGAAGGAAGGTTCTGAGAAACGGACAACGGGTGCAAGTGGGGGGGGAGGAGGAAGAGGAGGAGCAGGAGGGGGAGGTAGTACTGGTGGAGGGAGTATCTTCCTGATGGGAGGGCTGGGAGAAAAGGGGCAGAAGCCTCAGGAGCATTCAGGTTTACAGAATCCAACAGTAAAGCAAGAGGTGATTTCCGGGATTAATGTGCTTATAAAGGGGGAGGTTGGGGGTGGGGAAAGCGGAGGAGGAGGTTCGGCAGTGGCTGGTTCGGCCCGAACCAGGCTCATGCCGAGCCCGAACCTCCCGATTGCAGCTCCGGTGTTCGTCAAACCCAGTGGTAATAGTAGTAGCAATGGTGCCGGTGGTACTAGCAGTGGCAGTGGTGGTAGCGGTGGTGGTGGCAGTGGTGGTGGCAGTAGTAAAGGCGTTGCTAGTGCAGAAAGCGCCAGTGGCCAGGGCAAGAAGGGTGCAAAGGGTAAGAAGGGGCAGAGTGCGGCCGAGCTGGACGGTGACAGAAGGAGAGGTGCTTATAAGGAGGCCATGGCTCGGCTGCAGCATGACTCCCCGTTATTAGAAGCTATGAGGGAGATAGAGGAGGAAGTGGGGGGGAGGGGGACGACTGGGGGAAGGGGGGTGAGAGGGGGAAGGGGGCATGGAGGAGGGAAGGGAGGGGGTAGGGGAGGGATTGGGGGAGTGAGGGGGGGGAGTGATCTGGGCCGTTCGCTTGACCCTACGGAGCAGCGAGATCGGGACGGCCCGTGTGGCGTCCCTGCTGAGCTGGTGGGGCTTGCTGACCTGGCGGATGATGAAGCTGACGTGGACGGGCGGTTTGACATCTGCCTGCCAGCTCACAGCTCGGAGCAGAAAGGAGGAAGAGGAGGGGGAGGAGGAGGCTTACTGAGAGGAGGATTGGGAGGAGTGGGAGGGAGGGGGTTGGAAGCAGGGATTGATGGGGGGAGAGGGGGGGTGCTGCAAGACGGACTGGTGCTGCTCAAAGGATGGCTGTCAAAGCAGCAGCAGGTGAGAGGACACGGGTGTGATGGGGCATCGACTGCTGCATTGTGGCATTGCGTAGAGCAAGCAGGGTGCTACAAGACGAGGTGCTGCTGCTCAAAGGGTGGCTGTCGAAGCAGCAGCAGGTGAGAGATGCTGTGTGCGATGGGGCATTGGGGCATTGGGGCATTGGGGCATTGGTCTTTGTGGCATGGCGTAGAAAAGAACATAAGCAGGGTGCTACAAGATGAGATGGCGCTGGTCAAGGGATGGCGCACAAGGAAAATAGTCTCACATGGTCTTACAGCAGCAGCAAAAGCAGGAGCATGTAATTATATGTTTCTTTTGCTTCTGCCTAACTCACAGAGTCGTACAGTTTGCCGGCACCTCTGCAGTTCCGTTTTGAGTGGTGTGGTGCGAAGTCCGTTTCGAGGCGTGAACTGAGACTGCTTTTGAGGCGCCTCAAAAGCTGGCATCTCTGCAGTTCGCTTTGAGTGGTGTGGTGCGAAGTCCATTTCGAGGCTATTTAAAAACATTTATATTTCTGTTCACGTGTCCTTTGTTTTCCTGCCTCTCTTGAGGCGCCTCAAAAATAGACTCCTCACGCTTGGCCTGGGTGACCTATCTCCCCTGCCTTTCTTGACCTATCCCTTGCCCATCCACCCTTCCTCCTATTTCTCCCCTGCCTTTCTTGACCTATCCCTCGCCTATCCACCCTTCCTCTTGTTTCTTCCCTGCCCGCAGATTGAAATCGTGACAGAGTGCCGGCGCCTTGGCCTGGGTCCTGGAGGATTCTACCGCCCGAAGTTTCTCAACGGCGGGCAGATGAAACTCCACATGATGTGCCTCGGGCAGCAGCACTGGGAGCCGAATCTCCGAACCTACCAGCCCCGCCGAACCTATGTAGATGATGCCGTACCTCCCCCTCTTCCTCCCTCCTTCATTTCGCTTGCCACGCAAGCCGTCTCTACTGCGCAAACCGCTGCCCAAGCCGCCTCGGGCAGCAGCAACAAAAACATGATTCCAAACATGACTCCCTCGGTCTGCATTACAAACTTTTACTCTGCCCGGCGCGGAGCGCTAGGCATGCATCAGGACAAGGACGAGCCGCCCGTGTCGATCCGCCGGGGGGCACCAGTCGTCTCTTTCTCCGTCGGAGATTCAGCAGATTTCCTATTCGGGTGGCAAAGAGACCCGGAAAAAGCTGCTAGAGTGGTTCTGGAGTCTGGGGATGTGGTGGTGTTTGGGGGGGCTTCTAGATTGATGTTTCATGGGGTGCCGTGTGTGCATGGGGGTACGGCACCTGACTGGTTGATTGAGGAGACTCGGCTCAGGCCTGGAAGGCTGAACCTCACTTTTAGGGAGGTCTAAACTCCAAGTTTGGGGGATGTGGCAAGGGTGGGTGGGGTGGGTAGGTGGGTGCCATGTAGCTAGAGGTCCTGGAGTCTGGGGATGTGGTGGTGTTCTGGGGGGGTTTCTACCAGTAGATTGATGTTCCGTGGTATGGTACAACGTGTGAGCATGGGGGGGTCTTGTGGTGGAATGGATTGCATTGCGACATGTGAGGAGGCATGACTTGTCTGATACAGCCGCAGTACTCTGATGTGAGTCTTAACCCTGAGTAGCTAGAGTGCTACACAGCTGCAGAAAGTTGGAGCTGCTCTTGTGCTACGGCTGTTTCTGTGCTTCTCCCTCTGCTCCAAGCTTCTCAGCCGCAGCCACCCCCTCTGGCTCAGTCAATACAGGATCAGCAGCATTCCCGAACCCCCTGTTACAGTCACACCTCCTAACCTGCACGCGCCTGGTCCCCGCCCACTCGCCGAGCACCCAGCTCCAGTGCAGCAGGGGCCCTTTGCTCCACGGGCTCTTTCCGCTCCAGCACGTTCTAGCCTACCCAGCTTCGCGCCTTATTCAAAACAGTACAGCAGCGTGTTGAACACGTCCTTGCAGTTAGCACCTTGGGCTTGCCGCGGCTTGCGGCCCACCTCCAACCCCACCTCCTACCGTCACCTTGTGTCCCACCCCCTGCCCCCACCCCGTGCCCCCACCTCCTGCCTCCACCTCCTGCCCCCACCTCCAGCCCCCACATCCTTCCCAACTCGATTCGCGCACTGCACACAGTACAGTGCACTCAAACCCCAGTTATACTAACATTTTTAGAACCACCAGGATTATTTATGATGAGTTTTCTCCCAACCTCCCGCGCTTCCTTGCCCCCAGTCACCCCCCCGCGGCAATCACAGCGCCGGTCGCGCACCCGCCTGGTTCGTTCCCACTCGACGCGCCACGCGGCGAGATGCGCCTTGGGGTCGCCGAGCACCCAGCTCCAGTACAGCAGCGCGTGGAACACGTCCTTGCGCGCCAGCGCCTTGGGCTTGCCGTTGCGCCCCACCTCCTGCGCGCTCCCCGTGCGCGTGTTGCCCGTCGCGTTCAGCGCGCCGTCCGCACCCACCCGCGTCACCAGCCACGCCGCGCCGTGCCGCCCGGCCTCCAGCAGCCGAGATCGAATCTCCTCAGATTCGGATCGGTTCTGAATGTTCGGAGCGACATAGAGATAGTACCGAGCTGCGTAGACCAATCCTATTCCCTGGTAGCTGCAGTCATAGCCTTGCCTCTCGTAGTTAAAGCCCGCTGGGTCCTGCATCTCTAGGCCACTCTTGATGTACTTAATCGACTTCTGGATGAGGGTACGGTTGTCTGTTAGTAGCCCAGCCATTCCTAAGGCAGTCCCTGTTAGATAGCGCCTGTGCGTGTGAACCGCGTCGTATTTCCACCCTTTATCCTCCGTTTTCGATTCGACAAACCACGCCGCCGTTGCCGCGATGTGCTTTTCGGCTTTCCGCAGCCACCGCTGGAAGATCGGATGCGCCGCCCAGTGGGACGTTTTCAGCAGAAGGGCTGCCCGCGCGGCGGACTCCATGAAAAAACCCGCGCTGTGGTACACGTCCGGGCAGTCGAAAGATCCGTCCTCCCGCTGCTGGTCGAAACCCCAGTCGAAGATTTTCATTCCGATCCGGGCAGCTTCGGAGTTGTTAAACGCCAGGCCAGCTTGGATGAACAGGAACCCGTAATACTGTTCCTCAATATACCACTTCCCCGCCCCAGTTTCGTCGTACTTCTGATTATGTCGCGAATACGCGCCGTTTTCGTTCGCGTGGCCCTCCAAATCCGCGATACTGCTCACCGACCGATGCTTATCTAGAGCAGTGCAGATCGCGAGGGCTTTGTCCAGGCGAAAGTCGCCAGGGCAATCGACGTTCGCCGGCCATTCGCCGTAGATCCGCTCGTCAAGCCGCGTCAAAAACTCCCGCCCGAGAAACTTAGCGGCGAGCGGCTGAGTGGCGAGAGACGCAACCCACGTTTGCCCACCAGCTGTCGACCGAAACGTCGCGTCACGTGGCGTCGCGACAGGAACTGACGCCAGGCGTCTTCTAACGGGAAACGTCGGTTCGGTGGCGGACGGCGAACGGACGGAGTCCCAGATCCCGTGCGCAATAAACCCGAGCGCTCCGAAGAGATTCGCGCAAAGAAAAATCAGTATGGGGATTCGGCGAGGCTGGATGGTGAAAACCCGTTAAGATTCGAAGTCCTCGGAGTGTAGCGAGTGGATGATTTGAGAATGTTTTGAGATTTCAGTCTGTCTGGAGATTCGAGAGGCCTTGTTCGCTTATCACGGGGATCAGGGCGGCATGAGGATGTTTCATGCTCGGAACGACCATAACGAGGCGGGGCGCTTGTTGCACGAACTGGGCGGCAGACTGGCGGTGCTGGTCTGGTGCTAGATGGTGCGAGAGATAGGTAGGCCGCGCGAGCCGAGAGCTGTGGTGCGCCGTTGGGCGACATGGCCGCGAGTTTTAATATCCAGCCAGAGCTTTTACAAACTAGGAAAGAGACGCACAAGCAGCAAAAATGGATGGAAATGTGAGTTTCAACAGAAATGTGGAGCGTTTGGTGGCGGCCCAGCGTCGAGAGCTTACTGGAGGCGAAGCTGATGTGGTACACTTGACGCGCGGACCCGAAGCGGTTACACCCTGTAACTGCAGCGGAAGGCGGAACGGCAGGCAGGGGGTGAGTGAGAGGGACCGCAAGGGCGACCTGACCGAAGGTAGAAACGGGTAAGGCGTAGGAGATTCCGTGATGGGACGAGACTGGCCCCAGAATTACTGGGGGGGGGAAGGCGTAGGTGTTCTCTCGCCGAACCGTGACGCAGATGGATCGGGTTCTTGTGGAAAACCCCCGAACATTGCTGGAGAACAACATAGGGGAGCAAAATTGCACACTTAGCTTGTTTGTGAACGTGTAAGTGGGATCGAGTGGAATTACACACCTCCCTCTATCACCACTCTTAAAATCCCCCTAAACGTCTACTTTATCCCTAAACGCCCTCTTCATCTGGAATGAAGTGACTCCACCCGCATTTCCATTTGGTGGATGGAATCAGAGGAAAGCATGCGGGTAAGTAGTCCTCTAGCCTGAGCCTGAGCCTGAGCCTAAGGCTGCGGTATACGACCCTGCTTTCCAGGGTTGCGGACCCTCAAGGACGGGGATTGCATGGTTTTCAAAGAGATTCTCGTAGGTTATTGAGGTTTTCAATACAGTAAACTTTCGGTTCGCTGTGGTCGATCCTGGATAACAGGGTCGTGTTCTGCGGCCAAAGCACGCGGGTACAGAAAGTCCCAACCTTGGATGGATGCTGGCGGATGCGGAGGCACTGTGTGCCGCCCGTTATGGCACACTTTACAACCAGGAAACGCCCGAGTCCTGACCTGAGCCAAGTTTTTCTTGGACTCAACTGAGACCCACACCGCGTCGTGACTTGTCTTGACGTGAGGTGCTCGTCTCCCACTCGCTGCTGTATTGTCTTGAGGGAGAGGACTTTTTCGTTTCCTGGGTAGACGATGACCGAAAGAATTCGACGACTTCGCACTGTTCTGAAATTGTTGATGCTGTCCCCTTGGCCTTCATCCCCTCGGCGGGGAGATTTGGGAACTCCAATGAGAGTTTTCGTTTTCCCATAAAATTTCAAACCAACCAACAGTTCCCGCGAACCTTGTGAGATGATGGAAATGCAATGCTTTCATACTCAAAAACCTGAGAGCACTTATGCAGGGTTAGCAGCACTTACTGGTTGGGGGCACCAAACCCATACAGCATCCTCATTATAGGTGTACGGTATCACATTCTTTTTCTGGGGAGTTTAACCATGTTCTTGCAACACGCCAATAGCCATTTTTTCGTGTTTTTTTTCGCCTTTACCCGCTCTGATTGTCCAACCTAAAGCAAAATGGAACCCTCTTTGTCTAAGGGCGCTAGCATAGTGCACATGGTGATGAAGTTGGTCTATGTTAGAATCCTAGGCTTGTCATCCTGCCCCTATGTTCCATTCATGAACCAGAAACCGGAATTATATGGTCTAAATAAAAGTACACTATGTAGGTCATGAGAGATCACACATAACATGATGTGTGACAAATTCTAGTAGCACAATAACTAGATATCGCTTGTAGAAGGACGAATTTCATTCATAAGCTAACACCACACTCCTTATCGAAGCAACGGATGCAGCTACATTGCATGCAACCAAGCTGACTGTATTGACAGCTTCGCGCGCGAACGCTTGTCTTGAGCTTACGTCAAGGAACTGTTCAGTTAGGTGTTCGCGAAGGTTACCCATAAAGCCCAGGTCCCAAATTAATCAGTGTGGCCTTCAAACTGGGCCCAGTTTGATGTGGTTTGAGTCGGTAACCCAATCCACCCTAACCCAGACCACAAAGTGTCAAATATATATTTGCATGTTGTTATAGACTGCATTAGGTTGTGCCTTAGATAGTACAACCCATAAGGTTATATTCCCCTGTATCCCTCCTTTCGAGCATTCGTTAACATTGATATGGTATCATGAGTAGGTTAGGTCCCTCCCGCCCGCTAGCGCTTCCGCCCTAGGTCCTAGCCGCCCCATTCCCCTCCCGCTCGCGCTGGCCCGTCCCCTAGTGCCCCCCCCCCCCGTCGCCTAGACGGCCCCATAGCCCAGCCGGCCCCGCCTCCTAGCTGGCCCCGTTGCCTAGCCGGTCCTGTCGCCCAGCCGACCCCGTCGTCTAGCTGGTCCCTGAAGCCCAGCCGACCCCGCCTCCTAGCCGGCCCCGTTGCCTAGCCGGCGCCGTCTCTTAGCCGGCCCCGTCGCCCAGCCGGCCACCGTAGCCTAGCCGGCCCCGCCTCCTAGCCGACCCCGTCGCCTAGCCGGCCCCGTCGCTCAGCCGGCCCCGCCTCCTTGCCGACCCCGTCGCCTAGCCGGCCCCCACGCCCAGCCTTCCCTGTCGCCTAGTCCGCCCCGTCGCCCAGCCGGCCTCGTCGCCTAGCTGGCCCCGTCGCCCAGCCAGCTCCGTCGCATAGCCGACCCCGTCGCCTCGCTGGCCTCGTCGCCCAGCCGACCCCGTCGCCTAGCTGGCCCCGTCGCCTAGCAGACCCCGTCACCTCGCCGGCCCCGTCGCCCAGCCGGTCCCGTTGCCTAGTCGGCCCCGTCGCCCAGCCGGCCCTGTTGTCTAGCCGGCCCTGTTGCCTAGCCGGCCCCGTCCCTCAGCCGGCCCCGTCCCCTCTCCGCCTAGCCGGCCCCGTCGCCTCGCCGCCCGCAACCCTGTCTCCTAGCTGCCTCACCGCACTGCACCGCCCGCTACGCATTGCACCGCACTGCACCGCCCGATACCGCACTGTACCGCACTGCACCGCTCTGCACAGCACTGCAACGCACCCTACCATATTACACCTCCCTCTACTGCTGTCTAACGCATTGAACCACACTGCACCACGCTCCACTGCTTCCAGCCGCACTCTGTCGTTCAGTACAGCCCAGTCCCTACTTTCTGTTGCTGCAGCGACCATGATGGCGGACTCGGTCCTGCGCTTTGAAACGGAGGGGCAGCCGGTTGAGTTTGACTCTTGGCTCATCGACCTCCGCCGCCACCTGACTGGTCAGCGGCAGAACGGCCACTCCCTGGCCATCCACATCGAGGGTACGCTCCCCTGCCCGGACCCCCTTGCTGCTCTACCCGCTGACCCCACGTCTACTGATCGTGAGTCCGCTGTCGCTGCTGCCCTTGCCCGTGCTGTCTGGTTGTCGCGTGACGCTGTCGCACAGCTCGCGATTAGTCATGCCCTCCCCTTGTCCGAGCGCCCCCTATTTAGGTCGGTCAGGACTGCGCAGGAGTTCCAAGAGGCTGTTGTTGCGCGCTATTCCACCCTGCCCTCTGCCTCCGTCGATCGCCTGATCCAGCCCATGCTCTTTCCTGATCTCGCGTCTTTCCCTACTGTCGCTGACCTGGCCGCCCACCTGCGCACACTAGACACGACCTGTCGCGCTGCCTGCACTGAGGCCCAGCTTTGTGTGTTTTAGCCCCCATCTGCTCTACCCTCTACCTGCTTGCCACCCGCCTCCATGACCGTCTTGCCACCGCCCGCGATCACTTCCTTAGTCTCCACCCCGCTGATCTCACCCTCACTGACTTTGTCGACACCTTGTCGGCCATAGAGACTCGTCAGCGCTCTATCGCATAGTCTAGCGCCAGCGTGCCAGTCTCTATCTTTCAGGGCTGTGCCCCCGCTTAGTGTACTTACTCTGACGATTTTGCTGCTGTCGCTAAGGCAACTCCTACTGTGGAGAGAGCAGCTCAGTTTCGTCCGGGTAAGGGTCGCCGCCCCAAGGCTGGGCGCGGCGGAGGTAGCGGAGGAGGGGGTGGTGGCGGTGGTGGAGGTGGCTCGCCCGCTGGTAGTACTGACGAGGGGGCTGGGGCAGGTGCCTCAGAGTGTAGCCCCAGCAGCAGCAGGCACCGCCGCTGGACCAGCAGCCGCAGCAGCAATCGCAGTAGCAGCAGCAGCAGCAACGGCGGGTCGGTCGTCTCCCACCCGGGTGGCCGGGCGCCAGCAGTGGTGGTGGTCGCAGTGGTCGTGTGCGTGGCGTGGCATCGGGTGGTGGTCAGAGTGACGGGCGCTGCCAGTACCAGCTCCAGACCGGTCCTCGCCGCGGCGTCGTGTGCGGTAAGATCGGCCATAGCCCCACTCGTTGCTTCCGTTGCCTAGACGACTTGTTTCGTCTCCGCTTCGACCCATCGCTAGACCTCCCCGACTGGCATAGTCTGCTCCGTCGTGGTGTTAGGATCTCCGATATGGACATGGATGAGATTAGCTCTGCTTTGTATGTGCTGTATGTCGATGACTCTAGTGTGACTGATTCCTATTACCCTGTGTTGCCTAGTGTAGTTGTGCCCAGTGTGCCTAGTTTAGGCTGCCCTGCTGCGTCAGGCGTAGGATCCACTGCCTTGTTTAGCCTTGGGTCCTCCCTCGCTCCTCCGACCCTGGTCGCCACTGCCGCGCTCTCCTTCACCCTGGACTCCAGCGCTTCCCAATGTTTCTTTCGGGACTCCACTATGCTTACGCCGCTTGCCGCACCCGCCGCAGTTGCTCTTGCAGACCCTTCCTCCAGTCCTGTAGTAGCCCGTAGCTCCACCACCCTTCCCTGTCTAGCGGTTCCCTCGGGCTCCCTTACAGGCTTGCACATCCCCTCATTCTCTAGGAGCCTAGTTGGTGTCGGCTACCTCCAGGACCTTGGCGTCACCACTACGTTCCCTGGGCACAAGCGGTACGCTGTCTGCTCCCCTCACCATGTTCCCCCGGGGACCCGGTGTCTGGCCTGTTCACGCTGGACACCGCGCCCCCCCCGGTTGGGACGCCTCCCCAGATGGCAGCGTCTAACCAGGTCGCTGCGGCTCGCTCGTGTCAGTCGCTTCTTCACCCGTCGCTTCTGTGGCACCACCGTCTAGGTGACCCCGCTCTCACCCGTCTCCGTCACATGTCCCGGCACAGTCTTGTCTTAGGTCTCCCTGAATCGTTCTGC